CCCCCCCCCCCCCTCCCTTCCCTCAAATATAGATATACTCAAGCTGACACGCGACATAGGCGCTGCAACTGCTGGAGTACCTGATCAAGCACGGCAGCGAGCGCGTCGTCGACGACGCGCGCTCGCACATTTCCACGCTCAAAATGCTAAGGAGCTTTCATTACATCGACGATAAAGGCAAGGACCAGGGTATAAACGGTACGCCCCCCTCCCCCTCCCCCCCTTTACCATCCAAATCCAAATTCAACAATACTGACTACGTCGAATGCGGAATAGTCCGCAACCGCAGCAAAGAACTCGTCGAGCTCCTCTCCGACGTCGAAAAGATCCGCACCGAGCGGCGCAAGGCCAAGGCGAACAAGAACAAGTACACGGGCGTCGGCAACGACGGCATGGCCTTCTCGTCCTTCGGCGGCGGCGGGTCCGGCCGGTACGGCGGATTCGGCAGCGACTCGCTTGGTGGAGGTGGGAGCTCGTCGTACGGCGGGGGAGGGTACGATGGGAATGGCGGGGGGTATGGGAGTAGGGCGAGTGGATATGACCGCGGTAAGCCTCCTTCTGAATTCTGGTATATTGATGATTTATTGATGGGGTGTGCAGAGTACAGCAGCGGTGGCGGCGGCTCCTCCGGCGGCTTCCGCGACAGCTCGTCCAACGCCAAATTCGAAGAATACGACGCGGGCGACTACGAGGCCCCGCGCCGCTCCGGCTCCGTCAACGCCTCGTCTTCATCTTCTTCCCGCGCCGCCGCGCCCGCGCGCAGCAACACGCAGCCGCCTCCTAAGGCGAAGCAGGCTGAGGCACCGGCGCCGGCAAAAGTTGTGGATTTGCTTGGGTTCGACGATGAGGAGCCCGCGGTGGGGGTTAATACTAATAAGGCGCTGCCGACGCCTGCGAGTGTTGCTGCTCCTGCTGCTCCTGCTGACAGTCAGTCGTTCTCCCCGTCTTCATCTTACCTTCATGTTTGCTGATATGCGGTGCAGGCTTCGACGACGAGTTCGCAGACTTCGTCGGCGCGCCCGTGTCACCCACCACCGCCACCTCACCCACCGCAATCGCATCGGCCCCCTCACCCGCTCCTTCTGGCAAGCCGAACCTGATGGACCTGCTCAACTCGGCGCCTGCTGCTGGGGCGAGGCCGCCGATGGCGGGACATGTCTCGCAGGGGTCTGTCAGCTCTGGGTACGGCATGGGCATGGGCGGCGGAATGGGCGGAGGCATGGGCGGCGGCATGGGAGGAGGCATGGGAGGCGGCATGGGGATGCAACAGCCGATGTACGCCGCGTCGCCCCCGCCCATGGGCGGTATGGGCTATGGAGCAGGAGGAAGTATGATGTCGCCCTCTGCACCGCCCATGCTCAGCCCGTCCTCACGCACCACATCCGTCTCGACTCCGCCCCCCTCTTCCGCCTCCTCTACGACTAAGACCGGAGGAGGAGGAGGGTTCGACGATCTGTGGAAGACGTCGCTCGGCTCGACGGGCGCGGCCAAGCCGGCGCAGGGCGCGCAGAAGAGTATGAGGGAGCTGGGGAAGGAGAAGGCGAGTGCGGGGATTTGGGGGACGAGCGTTGGTGCTGCTTCGTCGCCTAAGCCGGCGGGGATGGGCGCGCCGCTTGGTGGGTTTGGTAGTGCGAGCGGAGGGGCGAGTGGTGGGGACGATCTCTTGCTGTGATGTTGTGATTGGGGTGCGCGTGCTTAGAGTTGTATGCGCGGCGTTGTGTTGTTGTATTGTGAATTCATTTGGATGATTATGTGCATCGATCGGGAATGGGAGTATATACAGGTTTCCTTTGTTATATGACAGCGTGAGAAAAGTGAACGAGATTCGAGATCGTACATGTATGCGCAAGCTGCGAGACGAGAAATCACATTGAGAGACGAACATGAGACATTGCAATGCAGACCATATGTACAAACGAGCCAGAAAACGAGATATAAAACAACATAAATAACATCTCGCTCAAATATCAGCCGCAAAGTTCTGGAACTGCGTCCCCACAACGATCGTCCCTCCTCCCCCTCCTCCCGCACCCCCTCCCCCTC